AGCATGAAGAGGACGTCAACCGAGATCCGATTCACGGCTAGGCAAGTAGTAATGGCATCACTTGCTACCGCGTCCTTCGAGCTCACTCAAAATCACCTAATTTTCAACTTTTCGGGTTCCCCTAGCCCTGCCGATCACCCCAGAGAAACCAAACGGCTCTAGCTAGTAAGCCTTCCCGAAACCTACTTTTCCTTCCACTTTTCACCGATGTTATCGATGTTATGGTAATAATTTCCATACAGGGTGTGGTGCCAAACAACTCTGCCCCGGTTTCATAACCCGGAAATGAGTTGCAGTCGGTTGGTAGGTGCAGTGCCACCGAAGGAAACAGTGTTGCGCTTCTGCGTCCAACGATTGTCGACATCAATTAGGGCGATTTATTATACTGCGAGAAAAACGGGTTTTTCGTTCATCTCTACTCCACTCCACCTGCAGCACTGATATGGTATGATAGCGCAGGTTCTCGCGAAAGAAGTAACAACCGGGCGGTTACCCCGTGATTGGCAATGACCCTGATTACCCGCTTGGAGCGAATTTGGTGTTTAGACTATGACCGAACTTCGTAGACAATTATTCAGCGTCTGTTACTGCGTGGTAACCCCGGAAAAGCTCTCATGTATGGAAAAAATCAGATGCGTTGGCAGAAATCAGCTGCTCCACCTCGGCTGATCAGCTGATCGCTATTGTGAGTTGATCTCATTATTCTTCTTTTTCTAACGGTTTACTTCTTATTGTTAAAGTCATAGGTTTCCCAAAGACCATTTGTACCAAATTTACCCTCCTTAATTGTCTCCAAAATAATAAGGCCGAAATTTCAGCAAAAAAAGAGCCATGGTTGGGATCAAAGTCACATTTAGGCTAAGTAGGAGTGTTCCCAGAAGCGCCACCGATTTATGCCTGCTTGGGTTTCTAAGGTTATCATGATTCTCTCTCTATGTGTGTGAAAACCCCCAATGAAGTGGTCTTTTCCAGAACCTTTTATTTAGGGCTTTCCAGAATCTTTTTAAGGGTTTGTTCAGATTTCAAAAAGTAATTGCAAAACCCTTATCTCTAGAATCTTTCTCCCTATTTTATTATTTTCAGGTGATTTTGGTGATCCCAAGTGATATTTCACGGTAATCGCGTGGGCGGGATTGCTCGACAATTGCACCCCCGTCGTGAGATTGTGACTTTCGAACCTAAAGTGACAGTAACTATTGATGAAACTAACCCTATTTGTCGCGAATGTCAAGTAGAATACGCAGTACATGAAGAAAAGTGAAGTGCCGATAACGTTCACAATGATCATTACGCTATCATCTTTTAGAAATCCGTATCGTAACCAGAAAGAACCTCTGAAAATATGCTGTACTTAGGTATCGCTGAAATCACCCGAGTACTTGGCTGAGTAACCAAAGGACTTACCCTATGAATCCCATAAGGAACGGAATGCCGCTGATGTCTTGCGTACCTTTCCGCCGTATGATTTCAATGCAGATTGGGCTAAAAATGGACGGGTTTACGGAAGAAATATGTAAATTTGAATCTAATAAAAAATATAAACAAAAAGGTAATCCAGCCCAAAACCCGTTAGCTGTGATTAGAGTACAAGTAAAACTAACGTATAATATATGTGGGGCGTATTGATGAAAACCCTTCATTTTTTGGTCACAGTAGCCTCATATTCCTTTGGAAATTTTCTCTTGAAGAGAAAATGACAATCAGCTGACAATCAGCTGATCATCAGCTGAGCTCCTTTTCTGGCTAGTTAGATTTAGATTTTTACAGTTTGCAAATTTGAACGATAAATCTTTCGAGATACTGTTGTCAACTTTGTTATCAGTTCTTTTCAGGGTCACTTTATCAATAGAGTTTTCCAAAAAATCCGGTTATCAACTATTTATCAGCACACTTTCGCAATGTCCCATGGTGTTTGAGGGTTAAAATATCACAATATCAAGTACAGGAATCGGAACACTTTTTTCAACCTCAGGTTATCAAAGCTAACAACTCCAAAAGAAAACTTTTTCCGGGCTAGGTTTTCAAAAAAAAAAATAGAAAATGTCCTTAAAGGCAGGAAGGCATTTTTGGGGCTCATTCTAGCGCCACCTAGAAGAATTTTCCGGATTTCCAGCTGAGGTGATTAGGAGCTTCCCAAAGCGCCAAAGCGAGAAGGCGCCTAACTCTCAGTTTCTGCAGAGGACTACCTTATCAGACTGATAAGATGTCCGAAAAATTTAATAGGGCATTTTCCCGGAAAAGATCAATTTTACTGAATTGGATGCAGAAAACTTACATTCCACAGAGGAACAGGCAAACTGTTGTTAAAATAGCAGAACACGAGAGAATTTGCAGAAATGTTTGTAGATCCATAGCAAACTGAAAGAAAAAGTTTTAATTGAATTTAGAGTATCGCGTTGGAAAATTCGAAAGGGATACGGTAGGATTACGGTAGGTATGATATACAGAGCGGAGTTACGGTAAGACAAATACTTTGTACAGAGAAGAATGTGCGTGGGGTGATTTCTAAAGACCATATATACAACACATACAGTCACACCACACGATCAATCATACACCGACAGAAGCGGATTCTAGGCCAGCACAGGCAGGCAATCATCATCATCGGTTCGTCATTACGATCGGAACAAGTTTTTCGATAAGGAGAAAGAGTTCAGGTTTTGTTCGGGAAACATAGATCATGTCTCGGGAACGGTAAGGTAAACCGGGGGTGCAGGGAGTGCAGGGTCCTGTGTGGATTGCCGGACGGATGCTCACCGGCTGCCAGTGTGTCACCATCGCTTTATATACCCCATACAGAAGAAACCGCGCCCTCTCTGTCTTCCCTCCCACCGACCGCTTCCCCGTCGTCGCGTGGACATATGACTATGCTGTAATCACAACACAACACACATATACCAAGAGGACCTACTGAACGAACGAGTGCGTTCTTTGTACTGCACACGTGCATATCCCACCAGTGCTGAAACGAGGATCCGGGAAGAGTCCAAAAGGTTAGCCTGGGTCTGTTTTCGAAAAACGCTCCGTTCAACACAAGCGTGACCAACCACCGCTACATATACCCGGAGAAGCCGGTCAGACAAGTTTGGGAGACACACCCCACGGGGTACGTCATCAGCAACGGTACTGGAGCTTGCTCGTCCATGACAGTTCGCACGAAGGTCGGATGAAGGTCAAGTTAACTATGGCCGTAAATAACAAGTGACAAGTACGACTTCAGTGCTGTTTCCATAACTGGAACAGCACCGCGAAAAAGGTCATTGAAGTTTTAACTTTTAATAGTAGTTAGGAAAAGTGTGAGGCACAACTAAATCTCTTACAAATTTCCTAAGAAATCGGTCAATCTCTGTCTGATTTCCTCAAGGTTGGCGCTTTTCTCACAGAGTGAAAATTGCTTTTTCCAAGCTGGGACTCCCACAACTTTTGTGTCGCGAGTTAAAACGCCTTGCGGTGCCACTTCCGTGGGCCATCTGATGTTGCTCAGAATTTCGCTTTCACCAACGTTCGTAATTCAATGGTTCTCCTTTGCCCAAAAGGGATCAGCTCACAAAATGCCGCTATTCTCGCAAACGACCGCCTGCTGTCGCCCCTTGTCGCCCAGTGTCGCCCATTGTCGCCCACTATCGCCCATATCGCTCGCTGTCGCCCACTACAGCCCGATGCCTCAGGAAACCCCAACCTACCAGGTACAGTAGAAGTCATATTCACTACCTCTTTATCCTTATGAAGTGCCAAGTGTATCCTTCGAGTCGCTTGGACCGGGGGTCAGCAACCGGAGTATGGCTTCGTTGCGGGATACCATCATGCGTAATGCGGTTAAATTCGTCCCTTTGAAGGTCTGTCCTTCCCAAGCCCTTGTGATGGGATACCCGGTCGTCTTCTGTCGCTCACAGCTGTCCTTATGGCGCTTCTTTTCGCCCTGTCAGCCCCTCCAATTGACATGACAACGACTTTCTTGGCGCAGGCGCTGATCCAAGCCCCAAACTGAATCAACATGTGTCAAATTAGGCTCAGTAAGCCCTAACGCAGTCCAAAAATACTACCGTTTTTACTGGGATTGTGACAATGCACTGAACTTTTGAGGGTAAATATAACGCCTAGAATAGCTCCTCGCCTTCAAGCGTGAAAGCCCAACAACGACGGTAGCTTCAGAAGTCGCAATCCCGACTCGTAGTATAAATGGCTTTGTCGACAAAATGGTTGATCGGAAATCTCTGGGGGTGCTTTCTTGTGTTGCAGGCGTCACAGTGAGTTAGCAGAGCGATTTGCACGATCAGCAATATTCAGAGAATAAAAGAGTTTGAGTCAGAAGAATGGGTGAGGCGAGCAACGACGGACGGAAGAGAGTGTGTGTGCTGGAGCGGGTATGGGTAAGTGGATGGAGGGAAAACTGAACCCGCGCGTAGAATCCATCGAGTCACGAGGCGTGCCTAGCCAGTTTCACCGCCATGGACAATATCAAACGACAGCGCGGTTAGAGTAGGCACGGGTCTCATAAATTCCGAGCTCACCACCGCATAAACAGCACGGAAGCTGAGGAAGCTGAGTTCGGTGCGGGAATACAAAGTACTACCCGAGCCCTGGGACCAGTTTCTGGTTCAGGGTTCCTAATTGTTGACGGGTCCATGGAATAAATAAAATTTGAATCAGGACCGAGATGAAAAAGTGTTAAGTATGAAGGGCTCCACGCTTAATCGACACATTCCGGAATGCGCCATGCACTGGTCAAGTCGCAGAATTGTGGACATTTGGAAGCTTGTCTAGCCTGCATACACGTAAAGATAGCACCAGCGAAATGTAGGCCGGCCCACGCTCTCGTAACTGGCGCGGGCGATTTTCTAGGACTCACAATCTCAGAACGCGACGACGATGGGAAAGGTCGTCGTCAGCGAGGAATCGACTAGAGGACGGGCCGAGTGTCGCGAGCCAACAGTCAAGCCGCCTACAATGAATGCCTGACTAACTCCCGTAGGATTTAATGACACAAATCATTTGACGTAGCGGGAGGTGCATAAAAAGTAAATCTGACGTCCATTAAGCTAATGAATTACAACGACACGCATACTCGCACATTCCTCTCAGCTCAGCCACCGACGTTCACGTATGTATGCTATACGAAGTTATGCCTACGGGATCTGAGAAACGGGCGAATTCGCCACTCTAGCAGGTAGGGAAAAACCTCAGCGCCTCAATAATTCTAGTGGCTTACTTTGGGTCTCGGGAGAAGAAATCGATTTCCATGTAGATGCCGCCCATTTAAAATTCATTTGAGAATTTTAAATTAGACGGGGGCAATTTGTACCCGATCGCATTCATTGGAAACAAATCAAAGCTTAAAATTGGTCAGGTTAACATGAACGGTGATTCCAAGCAATGGGAAAGAATTTGCGGAAATGAAATTGTCCGGGACAAAAACCACTCATAGGACGGCCCCTTAGGTTGAAGGGGGTCTGGTCATTCGGAAACCCACAGATAACCCCAGTAACGCTCCACATCCAGAAAATGGTTTTCACTTCCAGAAGCGTTTTCATTGGAATTCCAGTACGGTTGAAGTGCAGCACTCAAATGCTATTACGAATATACACAAAAGTAGAAAACATGGCGTATCCCAAAAAAGGGAAAGAAAAGAAAGACGAATGGGCGATTTCTTCTTGTTTCTTGCTAGGTTCAAAAGATGATTGAGAGATGGAAGTCAGCGATTCAAAAGTAGCGCGAGTGCCCGGAAATCTCCCGGAGTTGAATGGTCCTTGGATGCGCCACGCGTTCAACTTCCATTCATATTGTGAACGGCATTCGAATGCGCTATGGCTTTTCCAATCAGTTGTGGGGGTTCAGCCAATCTAGGTCTCAGCATTATATGGTCCCAGACGGATCTGGTACCACAAACCCGAGGAATGGAGGGCTTACTTGACCTTTGCCAGAACCTATCCCGGCATTCATCCCTGGACCACGTGTAGGGTATAGGGGGCCACTTGCCGCTATGCCCCTGCGCTTGATCCTGACTTGAACTAGATAGTCAGTCAAACATATTTGGTCAGCCATGGAACTGCACTGCTGCAGGCTTTGGAACGTAAACAAGTCAAAGAGCATCGCAGAAACAGCTGAATTTATGTCACCAGAATCTGTTTATTTACCCAGAACTTGTTTTTTGCGCAGCAGAAGTGAGAAGTGATGATTGCAGCCGTTTTAGCAAGGCAGTAGTTCATTTGAACCATGAAATATGAAATAGAAATCTTAGACTTAACGGCACAATGGGAATTGCAAAGTTCCTTCTGTAACAAAGATGCAAGCAGGCCAACCTGGGAGAGTGGTTAAGTGGGAAACTGTTCATGGCGAATTTGGCCAGTCCATGACCCGCCCAGAAAACCTGTTACGGGCAGAGTTGACCGTGAATGGACGTATCTAAGGCCACAAACAAATGTGTGAACGAGATAAATGACTGTGATGATCGAACAGTGTTCGATGGCCAGCTAGAGGCGGCTGTCATCGTAACAGTCCCCCCATCCCTCCCCATC